GGAAGGAGCCCCACTCAGTCCCATTGTCAGCAGCATCAATTCTGTGACTTACAACATAGCCAAACACATGGCCACCATTCTGGCTCCTTTGGTGGGAAACGCAAAAAAACACATAATAAACTCCCAGGACTTCATGAGGAAAGTCAGACAACTGCAGCTGGAGCAGGACGAGACCATGGTCTCATATGTTGTCACATCCTTGTTCACTTGCATCCACACCACAGAGGCTGTCAAGGCGGTGAAGAAGAGACTCCTGAAGGATGACATGCTAAACAGCAGGACTAACCTCACCCCAGACCATGTATGCACTCTGTTGGAACTCTGTTTAAACACTACCTACTTTCAGTTTAGGGGGCACTTCTATAGGCAGCAACCCACTGTGCAGTCCACTTGGGAGGGGACAGAAGCCTGAAGTGCCCACAACTGCAGAAGGGGCCAAGAAGGAGAAATTACACATCCAGAACCCCCTTAAGGCTTGTGGATACCCCAAGTGGGCCTTCACCAAAGCAAGGAGGAGGCCCAACACCAACAGGGAGAAACCAGAAACAAGAGGGGATAACACAGTCATCCCTTTTGTGGTGTTTATCAGAGAAGTTAAAAAGGATCTTTCGCAACCACAATATCCCAGTTAATTTTAAACCAGGGAACACCCTGTGGCAGAGACTGGTCCACCCAAAGGACAAAACACCCAGACATAAACAGAGTGATGTGGTGTATGCAATTAAGTGTAGTCAGGAGTGTAACGACTTGTACACTGATGAAACTAAGCAGCCGCTCCACAAGCGCATGGCCCAACACAGGAGGGCCAACCCCAGTGAACCAGAGTCAGCAGTCCACCTCCACCTGAAGGACAAAGGACATTCTTTTGAGGGCAGTGAAGTCCAGATTCTCTCAAGAGAACATCCCTGGTTTGAGAGAGGAGTCAAGGAGGCTATTTTTGTCCAAATAGAACACCCCTCACTAAATAGGGGTGGTGGACTAGGACACTAGGATCCGCAACCCGGTCCCGGATAAGCGAAAGAAAATGGATGGATGGATGGATGGACTAAGACACAACTTGTCATCCATCTACAACTCTGTTTTGAGATCTCTGCCCTAACATGCCCACCAAGACAATAGGCGTTGGTCCACAGGTGAGGGTTCAAAGACAGGTAACGACGCTCACTGATACTGGGCTATAATGACTCAGTTATTAGGAGACATTGTTGGTCATCAAAGGACTGAAACACCATCAATGGGGATAAATATCTCTGGCTCAACACTAGTCAGGCAGGACTGATGAAGCCTCTTGGATGAGAGGTGAAACGTCTTCTACCTAAAACCAAGTCCAGTTGATTTTTTTCTGTTTTTTTCAGCTGTCAGAGCTCAAATGTCTGGAAATCCCATCCGCTTAAATGAAGTGTTAAACCGTGTGAGAAATGCTTTGCCTGAAACTTCTGTGGTAGAACAATAATACCCTGTGATATCGGCACACATCAACGAACCAGATGTCCTCTTTCTGCTGTGTACAGAAATGCGCCCCCGTGATTTCACATTCACTGATTTGTGTTTTGACTGTTGTCATCAATGTGATTGTTTCAAAATCCAGACATGGCGAAAATTTAAACACGGAATCTATTTGGTGTGGATTGTTTAGATATCTCATTGACCTTAACCACACTGCACTGATTCTAGAGTTGCTGTCAATGTGATACAACTGCACCATCTGTTGGTGTAGCATCGACATTGGATGTTTTTGTGTTATGAAATAAAAACTGCACAAGAAACAGTGTCTGTCATTTCTGAAAATAAAAATGAGGTGT